ACTTAATTCTTGAATCATAACTTTGAAAAGGCTGAGATCCCTACCCCATAATGTTAATCACATTCGAAAGAATCGTTAAGTCAACATTTTGGTAATTTTGTGTCTACTTCGTTGATATACTAAGCAAGCACACTGTTTGTTCTGTAAAACATTCCCCCACTAATAACGCTAACCATTTCTAACCAGACATATTTTCAGTTGCGAGTAATAAATGATAATAAAGTGTAGTTACCAGGTGAATAGTTGATACTTGACACAGCTAGAGTTGCTCTATTGAACGCATGTCAATGTAGATGTTGATTTCAACCATGGTTTAACGCTTGGGTGATTTTCTTATCAATCTTTCATGCGATATGTTGAGAGGAAACTTTCACTCAATAAGTTGGAAAATAAAATGTTACATAGACAATACTTTATAAAAAAGGTACGTACTCGCTAACATTATACATCTGCGGTCGCACTTCTGAACGCATGTAGCGGTTGCTGACTTTACAAATATTCTGCGCTTCAATGACTAACATTTCCTTATACACGATGATATTGGACTTTTAACTCTAGGGTCTAGCCCCACTCATTGGGACTTTTACATTCTTAAGTCTTATTTTTGACAAGGCTGAAATCTCCACCCCATAATGTTTGTCACATTCGAAGGAATCATTAAGTCAACATTTTGGTAATTAAGTGTCTACCTTGATAACACTTGTTGGTGAAAAGGTTTGAAGATATTTTTCTGTGATCAACATAATGATCCGTAATTTTACAAAAAGGGAAAACAGATGTGACCACAAACCAAAATTCCATTTCAATATTGATTGAAATATCATCGCGGCGTCCTTGAAAAATGAAGTATGGTCTCCTACAGCGCCACAGCAACGCAGTGGCATCTCCATTTGACGCGGAAGGGTCGCCTGGAACGCCTTGCGACGGTACGCACTTTGAGCATGTTCTGCATTCTGACATGGGCGCAGTAGGAACGCCGTAGCAGCGCAGTAAGGTCTCCTACAGCGTCAAAGGAGCAATGTGGGTGAGCACATGATCGCAGAACGGACGCAGTGGTACGGCAGCGCTAGCTCGGAGACCTCACAGATTCCTTAGTGATGTCACTGCGTGTCTACCGCGTCCTTATGGCGCGTCTACGGCGCTTTCATGAAGTGTTATTTATCTTACTTCGCTCTGACAGCGACAACACGAAGCTGCAACGACGATCATTGCGCTACCTCGGCGCTTCAACTGCGTCCATCAGCGTGTGCAGGGCGTTGTCAGTGCGTTATGACCCAACCTCATGACAATTGTATTAATGCATCCTTAATTTTGTCAGCTTCGTTTCATCATGACTGTTGTACGCCAGCAAGCCGGTCAACACGACTCTGATTCAATCGCTATCATCGTGGAGACCTGCGTCAGTCTGCAAAATTTGATGCGTATGCGAGACCCTGAAGTCCAGTATGTTGACATGGCGCAGAAAATGCCAACCACCAAATTATCCCTGGTTCATGGCTGGCCACTTCAAACATAAATGATTCGTACAATATTAGGGGTCCCAATCAAGACAGTACTGCGGCAACGAAACAGCAGGCGTACCTCAAGTTGTACTTCAACTCCGCAGCTGGTTCGGTGCCCTGGCAGGACCGCATGATCTGAGTGCTACGGTTACATGACATGAACAATTGGCAAACAAATGCTTTGGATTCGCACGGAGCGTCTTTCTTCCTAAAGTCCTTTTAGGCGTTGACCATCTTGTTATAGATGAAGTTGTTCAACTCGAGTCATGATGTCAAGTCGTCCTCCTGTGTGACGTAGACAAGTTAGATGGACTGCTTGCCTAGGCGGTCAGATGTGGTAATAAGTTGTCGTTGTCCTCTTCCTTCTACCCCTCTTGGCGGTTATGATATGTTTATGTGGAATAGCAAAATAGCAACTGATCATGGTGGTTTTATACACTTCGCGCACGCAATACGAACGCAATATTTTGGGCACAGCGTCTGCAGTTAACGCGCCGTTAACGCACAGTAACAATGCCTAGCACCCCGTGAGCATTCTGTGAGAGCGCAGTCAATCGCCAAGTGGGAACGCGGAGGCACGCAACGGGCGTTCCGTAGAAACGCCTCATTTATCGAAAGGGCGTCTTAATATCTCCATCTTGTGAAAAATTAAAAAAAAAAGTGCAACGTTTTTCAGAAATATCCGCCGATCTAACGGCGCTATGAGAAATTTCACAACGCCTTGCCAACTATGTGAAAACGCGGTAGAGTGTGACAGGGGTTTTATATAGATAGACGGGTGGTCGGGCGGCGCAGTGATAGCGTATTAACCTATCGCCAAGGCGGCCGGGGTTCGTTTCCCCGATCGGATGTGGAAAGATTAAGGGTCACTTGCCCGACCACGTGGGCTTTCTCCGGTTACTTCAGTTTTCTGCGACATCAAGACCCCCGCGTTGTTACATCCGGGCGGACATGAGTGATTTATATCAGTTGAAATAACTTATTTCATAATTTTGTAAGATGAATAAAGTTTAAATGTAGACAGAGAAATATCTAACTTCGAGACCATTTCTGTTTTCTTCAAGCAGGAGTGATACTGATATATATTTAACATACACAGCGTCCTTAGCTTAGTAGATATCCTCATCTGTTCGGACTACCTGGTCTCTGGTCTCCATGGCGTCAATGATTCTACAATGTCCACTTCTAGTTTCCTTAAAAACCAATTAGAATGTCGTCCAAGAAAGGCCAGACTTTTCTATCCCGGTGATGACCTCTCAACACCAGTCAGACCTGGAGGTTGCCAAAGCGACATACACGTTATAGATCCTTTTATACAAGGTACACTTAGTTATATACTTTGTTTTCGTTGTTAGTAAGTGAGATTCTTGAAATAGGAACTATTTTTTAACGCTAAATCTTTATTTATATAACAACATTACCTTGTACTAAAGTGCAGACAGCAGAACGTCAGATTCAATATAACGCTAAGCTGTCAGGTTCGTTCTATATAGTTGCGGTGAACAATCTTTTTGTTTTGAGTAGGCATAATGCTTTTGTCAGAAAATGTCTATGCGCATATATTGAACTTCTTTTTAAGGTATGTTTAAAAATGTGCATCATACCTCCATTCACAGACTACCTTAAGGAAGTGCAAAAGTGATATCTATTTCGGCTAGGCTGTCTCCCAATACGCTTTGAGCTAACGTAAATTTACCAGTCGCCTTTACAAATTAATACGTCAGATACTACAGTGTTACAAGTAAATGATATGAAATATTTATATCGTCGCAGCTCATTATCTAAACTGTCTGTTGAAGGACCCGCCCCCTTTTGCTGTGTTACCCTAGGCAATATATGTCTTCTAGTGTAATGCACTTCTGTCGCAGCAGTCGGCCATACAATTCTTTTCTAGCTTGACATAAAATGTCGCAGAATTTAATGAACTATGGACATAGAAGATATTTGTCATTAATTTGACTTTGTAGATACCGTACAACCGGCTCGACAAAAGATTGACTAATTTTGTTATGTTTGAAAATATTATCATAAGGCAACAAAAACTGTTCTTTTGATAATTGGAGAATAAGAGAATTGGCTGCTTCACAATGTAAGTATACACATAATTAATATTTGTTTGTAATAGTACTGCGCGTTCCGATATTCTATTCTATATACTATATATAGTGTTATCCGACACAGTTTCATACCATGCCGTACACTGTGCCATTTACCATGAAAATCCGTACTATTGTTGTTGAACGTCGATTGGAAGCTTGAGCTTGTGGAAACGTCTAAAAAATTCTCTTCTGACTTGATACGTTGCTAGTAGAATAAGCTGCCAGAAACGGACCCCGTTTGCATAGGGATTTAAACTATCTACATTGTATCAAGCTTTTACACTATATTTTATTGTAAACACTTATTTATTATATTCATGTATGACTTACGATATATACCCTTAACCATATTTAAAGGAGTAACCAACATTTCAATCGTAATATGTTTATTACTTATTTCTTTTCATGTAATGTGATATATTCCCATGTGATTTATTAATGATGAAAGGAAGGGCAGAACTTCCTGGGGTGATTCCTCCACAGTGTGTTTAAGTTGGACGTGAACTCATTAAGTGTTTTTGATGACAGAGTTCCCTCATGTAGATTGTTCCAGACCTTGGTCACTTGGTCACGAAAGACATTCTTAATAGTGTTTAGCCTAAAAGATTTCTTGAATATTTGAGTGACCTCTAGTGATACTGAGTGGTATAGACCGAAACATCCGTCCGTAGTCTAACAGGTCGATACCGTTCAATATTTTGTAAAGCTCAACCACATCTGCACTCTCACGGCTGTCTTCCAGAGATGGTAGACCTAATGTTCTTAGGCGTTCATGGTACGGCATATTCTGTATTTCTATAACCCTTTTAGTGGCTCTTCGTTGTACATTTTCAATAGCTATTTTGTCCTTGTTAAAGGCCCTGTCACATTATAGCGTTTTGTTGGACGTTTGGTTGCGTTTTGAAAAATTGGAGAAACGTCGGGGAACGTCGACGTTCTGCAAATTGAGTTTCTAGGTCAACGTTGTTATAACGTTCTTGTAACGTTTGGGTAACGCTCAGCCAACGTCCACTCAGCGTCAGGCGACATTTGTGGTCGAGAATAGCAGCAAAACCTAGCGTTCATTTGCGTTCTCAGCGCTTTGATAGCGTTCTCATAGCGTCCACAGCGCTTTGATGGCGTTCTCATAGCGTTTGGGTAGCGTCTGCCTTGCGTCCAGGTAGCGTTTCCTTGTTTATGCCAGCGTCTAGCCAACGTTCTCGACGTTTGCCCAGCGTCTTGCCGACGTTTTCGACGTTTCCACAGCGTCTGCCTAGCGTTCCTGTAACGTTCGAGTAACGCGTGGAGCGTTTGTGTAACGTTTCGCCAACCTGCTGCTGGATGCGCAGTATAAAAGGGAGCTTTTGGCCAGAGTGTATCACGTCCATTTCAACCACCGCGCAGTCAACATCGCAGAAGTATGCTTCCCAAGAGCAAGAAGGCCAGCAGCAGAGGTCGGGGCAGCAGCATGGGCAAACGAGCAGCATCATCTCCAAACCAAGAGGTTGTTACCATCATCGCAGAGGTCCACACCACTCCTGTCGAAAGCGAGGACGACAGCCAGTAGCAGAAGCAGCCGAAGAAGCAGAGGGCAACAGTCACCCCATCCAGGTCCTAGTCGCAATCTCCAGCCTCTCCAGGGTCTACAGGTTCTAGCTTCTCCTCCTTCAGAAGATTGTCACCAGCCTCCTCAAAGGACAGAGGCAAGAGGAACAAGAGTGACAGGATTGACTGCAGCTTCTCTGAATCTGATGAGGCCATCATGGTTGAGTGGTTGCAAGAGAACGGAACATTGTGGGACTCTAAGCTCCAGGATTACCACAAGATTACCAACAAGGGGAAGTTGTGGGCGACCCAGGAAGAGAAGATGCACAAGACAGTGAAGCACTTGAAGGGCTGGTTCCGGTCACTGCGGGATAAGAATACCAGACTCATTAAGCACAAGAGCGGTGAAGATGCCCCAAGAAGAACAGAGAGGGAAGAGTGGGTGCTCAGCAACTTAAGATTCCTGCAGGAGGTAGTGCGACATAGACCGGAGCCAGCCAAGCCCATCATACCCAGCACAGCCTCATCTGCAGCAACTGTCCAGGGGGAGGATTTACCGGTAGATGGATAATCTATGAAGGAGTCTACTACCATACCTTCCATATCTGCCACCCCTGCCATAGCAGCCTCCAGCAGCACGAGTTCCAAGAGACCGAGAAGATCTGGACAGGAGGAGGATACCACCATCCAGGTTGACGTGATGGGTACCCTGCAGGAGAAGATCAAGGAGTCAGAGGCTATACTTAAGGGTTTGGTCCAGCCTTCAGCAGTGACCCCTGTGTCGACTTTTGCCAACTACTCATCAAATATCTCTGTTGGCATGCACAGGAAGTTTTGGAAGGAGGCTTGGACTTCAGCTCTGAGTTCAGCCATCAGCTTGTCATAAACACCAAACTGGGGTCGCCTTCCTATTCAGGGTATCACCCACCACTTTCTCTCTCTCCTCTTCCTTTTCTTCTTGGACTCTGCCTTGGACATCCTGACCTGGTGCAATGCCAACTGCAAGAGGTTGTTGTAATGCATGAGAGCAGCAACAGCATACTGGTGTTTCTCTTTATCTGTCATTCTTCTGAGGTCTTCACTCTGTGAAAGTTCCAACAGGACTGGCGGAGGCCTCTGCAAGCCCCTTGCGTAGCGTATTCCAGGTGTGGACGAATAAGGGACTTGTACAGGGTTGTAAAAAGAGCTTTTTCCATAAAAAGAAAGTTCTAAACATAATATCCACCATTTAGTTAGCTTTCGACACTGCTGGATTAATTTGGGTTGAGAATTTTACGTACTGTTGTATTTTGTGCGCTTTCGAACGGCATCGGTGTATTTTCTATGTTAATATGCATTCTGTATGATATAATAAATGTATCGTTATACTACATGAAATATATAGGTATTTACTGTATTATATAACCGTAAATAGTATTGTGTCGGAATACCAGTTATAGGGGTACTTACAAAACGAGGTATACAGATACGTATAAGTATACGTATACGGATTTAGAGGGAGTAAACATTGTTTGTAAATGTTGGGAATGTACACTATGCGTATACACATATATATATGTCCTTTCTAACGATACATTTTATCGTATTGATGTATTTGAAAACAGCTGCTGTATGCTGTAAAACGAAAAGTCCGTGCCGTTATGCTTATGTAGCCAAGCGATAACTTTCCATACACACGTGATGGAGTCGGGTGGATGACCAGATATAATCTGGAAGTGTTGCTACATTCCGATAATGCTAGTGTTGAGATCTTTCCATTGATATAGTATCCAAATGTACTGCCTAGCATTTTAAATAAATTATCAAAGTGTCTATATATAAATTATGTACTAATGAGGTACTTGGATATGCTACATGTATACGTTTATGATCAATAAGTCGTTGAAGAAGCATTACCAAAACACATCACGTCGCCATCACGACAAGAATGGCGCCAACGTCGCGGAAGGTGGCGTCGAATACCGGAAGCCGTGGGCTATACGGTACGTCACATGAGATATATATCTCCGAAGAAAATCAGCAATTTATATTCAGTGGTCATAGGAGATATCACTGTATCCATACACAGGTGGTGATAGATCACGAACTTAATATCCGACATGTGGAATCTGAGCTTTGTGGGCACAACAATAATGCACAAACATTTAGGCTGATGGCAGAGATTGGTTATAATGGGTTCGCATTGGACCTACCGCCAGTTGCTACATTCTAGGGGACAGCATATTCCTATCACCATCCTTTAATAACGTCATCCACTTCCGCGCAAATGTATCGTCGGCCGATCAGAAATTAAAAACGCCTTCGTCTTTTCAATAGAACAATTCGAAGGCATAGAGTGTTTGTAGAGCACATGATTGACCAAATAAAGATTTCCGCTGTTATTGGCACCTTGCTTGGTCACAGGAGAGAGACTTTTAGCCAGATCATGGTTCTGTGTCTTGCCCCTATCGTGTTAATATTAGAGCTCACAATTCACAATGCCTATTTATTTATTAAAGCAATAACAGAAATGTTAAAACTATTTTACCAACATTTATGAATAATGGTCGCTCCTCTTAAAACACATATCTGTATCCTTATGCGTATACGCATACCTCTTATTGCAAATACCCCTATTGTAAAAACAAAACGAAAGTTTAATGTATTTGACCTTGTGTGTTTGCGAAAAGATTATTGTGTTGCCGCTCTGTATATTGTGTTCCCGTTGTTTGTTTACCATTTTTGTTCTCTGTTTTCTTTTGACGTAATGTATTGACGTGTTTCGTATTGTATTGGCGCACTCCTTGTAGGATTTGATAACCCTGTGTTTATTTGCGTCTTTTTTAAATTCGACATATTTATTATACTGGCGCAATAAGATTGGTGCACTCTTTGTTTGTGCAAGTGCTATCAGTATGTTATATATTTCCTTAACCTTGTATTGACGCACTCTCTGTTGGTACAAGTGCTATCAGTATGTTATATATTCCCTTAACCTTGTAGTGACGCACTCTCTGTTGGTACAAGTGCTATCAGTATATTATATATTCCCTAAACCTTGTAGTGACGCACTCTCTGTTGGTACAAGTGCTATCAGTATGTTATATATTCCGTTAGCCTTGTATTGACGCACTCTCTGTTTGTACAAGTGTTATCAATGTGTTATATATTTCCTTAGCCTTGTATTGGCGCACTCCCTGTTTGTGCAAGTGCTATTAGTATGTTATATACTCCCTTAACCTTGTATTGACGCACTCTCTGTTTGTATAAGTGCTATCAGTATGTTATATATTTCCTTAACCTTGTATTGACGCACTCTTTGTTGGTACAAGTGCTATCAGTATGTTATATATTCCCTTAGCCTTGTATTGACGCACTCTGTGTTTTTTTGTATGTTTTTTGTAATGTATGTTCATTTTCCGTTTCGGATCGGCCTACTGTGTGTTGTATTGGCGTCTTCTGTATTGTATATAAGACGACCTTCATAATATTGGGTGATCCTATTTTGTATTGGTATCTTCTGGGTTGTAATGTTGATCTCTGTTATGAGTTATCTGCATTTTATTGACTTCCTCCATATTCTATGGGAATGCTGTGTATTGTATGGGAATATTGTGTATTGTATTGGAATACTGTGTATTCTATGGGAATACTGTGTCTTATATGGGAATACTGTGTATTCTATGGGAATAACATGTATTGTATAGGACTACTGTGTATTGTATGGGAATACTTTGTATTATATGGGAATACTGTGTATTATATGGGAATACTGTGTATTCTATGGGAATATTGTGTATTTTATGGGAATACTCTGTATCCTATGGGAATACTCTGTATTCTATGGGAATAATGTGTATTGTATGGGAATACTGTGTATTGTACGGGAATACTGTGTATTCTATGGGAATACTGTGTATTCTATGGGAATACTGTGTATTCTATGGGAATACAGTGTATTCTATGGGAATACAGTGTATTGTTTTGGACGTGTTTTTTTTGCAGATTGGAAGAACAAGCATTCCTTTCTGAAGTATTCAGTTTATGTTGAGTCTGAACCATTGTTTAGGACAAGAACCAAAATATATGCTAAGTACGTGTTGAACACAAACAGTAGTTGAAAACATATTTTGCGAGCTTTCGGAAACGGCTCTTACTTTTTTCAAATGATAGTGCAAATAACCGGTATCTTGACTTTAAACCGCTTAAAACATCACACAAAGCCTCAATGTGATTGCACAGTTTTCTGGTGAGAGAGAAATAAAACACTTTATTGAAATGCCCATCGTTGTTTGTGGCAACGTGTATAACCCATAGACTGTATTTAGTATTTTTTACCATAAAGCTTCGCATTATTGATATTTTCTAGCGTCTCATGAAAGGCACACGCAATATGAATAATGTTTTGTAAACATTAAACACTTTGAACACGATTAATAATCTAAATTATCTATTAAACATGTACACATGAAATGGAAAATACCGAAGATATGAAATATTGTGTTTTTCCCTAGATGTCGTCATCTCTATACGAGCGATGAAGTTCACAACTTTGATATATTGCTGTTGCTGTTTTCAATGTGTAATGACAGGTACGTAGCATTCTGTAAATATTAAAACGATCATTAATGTATGACAATGCCCTATAAATAGATATCTTAACATCGTACCATGGTCGGCTGTATGCAATATTTAATGTTAATAAACGAGTGTTTGTTATTTTACTGTATATGATATACATTTGTAATAATCGTAAAACTAGTGTACCGTTATATTTATCGATGATGTCTCGCTTGGCAGATCACAGTTTCTGTAATAAAGGAACGACGTATTGCTATTTCCAAGGCGTTGGTCAATTCTGTTGTTCATTCTAAGAGATGAATGTATATCTTCGTTTATAACTATGACATGTTATTTCAAAAGTCATTGGAGCATTATCTAGGGTGATGTCTATCCTTTTGATTCTCTAAGTGTTATGTTTTGTCCTTCTTTTATTGTTGGATGTAGCAAAGCATCTATCTTACTTAGAAGACCTAAGATGTCTTTCTCTCTCCTTCTCTATATAATTTGGACATGTTACCAATATATCTCCACCACACACACAGGTACACACACATATGTAGATATAATCCAGGTGGCATATGACTAGTAGTAATTGCCTGGTAAAGCACTTCCTGCACATTCATCAAAATTGCATTGTAGTATTTAATGTATATGTTAATTGTATTGTTTGTATCAATTGTATATCTATTTACTGTAAAGCGCTTCAGAATGTCTTATTCTAGCTAGATAGGTGGCTATATCAAGTTTTGTATATATCTATTTTTTCATATATTAAATGATGCCTATACCGTTTCGTTTTTGCCGCTGGTAGCAAATTTATTTTGACTTCTTAAATGCACCCTAAACAAATAATGTAATACTCTTACAACATGAAGTGGGGTACAGCAAGCCTGTTCTTTGCTAAAATCCGAAATCCGAAATCAAGGAGCTAGGAAACGAAAAGGTCATAGTGAGGCGGGAAGGGATTATATAAATCCCAAAGGGGCGAAGTTTATCTGAGTCCTAAATAAGAGGGCACAGTCGCATATC